CACCTGAGGTCAGGAGTTTGAGACCAGCCTGGCCAACATGGCAAAGCCCCGTCTCTACTAAAAAAATACAAAAATTAGCCAGGCGTGGTGGCACACGCCTGTAATCCCAGCTATGTGGGAGGCTGATGCAGGAGAATTGCTTGAACCTGGGAGACGGAGGTTGCAGTGAGCCGAGATCGCACCATTGTGCTCCAGCCTGGGCAACAAAAGTGGAACTCCATCTCATAAATAAATAAATATAAAAACAAATTTAGGTACTGAACCAACACTTAATCATGTCTAAACTTGTCTTTGTGTGCTCCAACATTTTGCAGTTTTTGAGAAAAGATTTGTTAGGCAGGAATCTAGACCCAACATGGTGGCGTTATCCGGCGTAGCAGGCCTTTTGTTAAAGACTCCCTTCACCCTTGTACACACCCGCAGACTTACATTCGTCAGAGTTCTGGTTGGGCAACCACATTCCCCCATGACCCGCAGCTCACCTGCATTTCACAAGGTTGTAAACAGCCGTTTCAGTTAAACAGTTTCCAAAGACCCCTTCCTCATGACATTGCAGTTTCAAGACCCCCCAGGACTTGTTTTGCACAATGAACTTCCCCATCGCTCAAGCTATAAAAGGTCCTTACCCTCCTCCCTCAGTGCGACTTCCTCGGCCTGCACCTTTGGACCAAGGAACCTCGCCCACAAGCCCTAATAAAGGCTATTCTCACTGCCATTTGCCTTGTGTCTTCATTCCCAGTTCGGCTCTGGCCTCAGTTTACCTTTACAATTTCACATATCCTGATTTTTCAGTTACATACTTATTCCCATCCATTAAAAAAGTTTACATGACAGTTTTAATTTGTGCCAAACATGTGAATTGCTTGGGTTAATGGATTAGTAACTTACTTTTGTTTAACAAAGAAGTCTAAGTCTTTGAGAAAATTATTCTTTTGGAAAGTTTTTTTTTTTTTTTTTTTTTGATAGGGCCTCACTCTGTCATCCAGGCTGGAGTGCAGTGGTGCAATCATAGCTCACTGCGACTCCTGGGCTCAAGGGATCCTCCTGCTTCAACCTCCTGAGTAGCTGGGTCAAATGTGCGCCACCAATTCTGGCTAATTTATTTTTATTTTTGTAGAGATGGGGGTCTATGTTGCCCAGGCTCCTCAGCTCAAGTGATCCTCCCATCTCTGCCTCCCAAAGTACTGGGATTACAAATATGAACCATTGTACCCTGTCGGGCAACTGTATTTTAAAATACTTATGGAATACTTGGTGATATACCTCATATAGCTTTATTTTGGGGAGAAATATTACTAAGGTGAAAAGTGGCTGTTGGATTTAGTCTCTTAGAGATTCATGTTGTGTTATGATAAATCGAATCTTCCATGAAAGTCTCATCTCTTACAGTTCTAGGATCTGAAGTAACCTGGATAGGAAATAAATAATATGAAGCTATAGGCAGGGAAGAATCTTAATTATAAAAGCAAAATATATTGTGTAATCACAAAACAATGAGCCTTCTTTTTCTTTTTAATCATCAAAAAAAAATTTTTAATTCACCTTTACAACAAGAATTCCCCAAGAGGACTTTTTTCTTGTAAGATTATAGCCTAAATGGAGTAGAGCAAGTAAAATTTAATTATATTTCTTAAAAATTATGGCCAGGTGTGGTGGCTCAGGCCTGTAATCCCAGCACTTTGGGAGGCCGAGGTGGCTGAATCACCTGAGGTCAGGAGTTCGAGGTCAGCATGACCAAAATGGAGAAACCCCGTCTCTACTAAAAATACAAAATTAGCCGGGTGAGGTGGCACATGCCTGTAATCCCAGCTGTAATCTCGGGAGGCTGAAGCAGGAGAATCACTTGAACCCGGGAGGTGGGAGGTTGCAGTGAGCCAAGATCGCACTATAGCACTCCAGCCTGGGCAACAAGAGCGAAACTCTGTCTCAAAAAAAAAAAAATTTTTTTTTCCCCTCATCAACTATGGTTATTCTGAATATAAATTGTGTAGGAAAGGCAGGATAAAGTTTTTTTTCATTATTAATTTTAGAATAATAAATGGTGTCTAGCAACCTCCAAAAGTAGCCAATTATTATTTTTTAACAATAATGTTTACAGGCTTTTACATATTCGGCAATGTTTTAATCTATTTGAAAATTCAAACTAATTTGAAAGAAAGCTGAGCTCTATTTCCTTTGAAACAGTTTCAGTACCTGATTCCTGTCATTCCTGAAATACCTGGGAAACCTCTCCTTGGTTCAGTTACATGATTCAACTCAACCTGCTTAAACCAGTTTGAATTGTACTGCAGCCTAGATTCCTAAAAACAGATCTTCTGTCCATTTTTCCACCTCTGTCCTGCACTGAAACTTTGGATTTTATAAAAACAAACAAAAAAAGGTTTATTTAAAATCACACTGGCATTTATGAGGCTCATCTCTGCCATTTATTTTTCATTCTTTGAATCATAGCAACTCTCTTGAATAAAAGGAGAATAGATGATGCAAAAATAACTGACTTTTTTCCACCAAAGGAGAAAGCGTTTTTAAAAAGAATGTGAATTTCAGGCCCAGAAGGTTATCTATAGCAGATCCTCGAATAACATTTCTTTCAATGGTGTTTCAACACTGATGAGGAAAGAAAATTATTATACTTCCCAGCCAGAGCCGCTGTGTATGTGGAGTTTTCATGTTCTCCTCATGTCAGCGTGGAGTTTCCTCCAAGTATTTCAGTTTCCTCTCACATCCCAAAGATGTGTATGTTAGGCTCATTGGCCTATCTAAATGGTCTCAGAATGAGTGAGTGTGTGTGTGTGAGTAAGCACGCTCTTCAATGGAACGGCCTCCTGTGCGGGGCTGGCTCCTGCCTTGAGCCCTGAGCTGCCAGGACAGGCTCCAGCCACCCTCAACCCTGAACTGGAATGATTAGGTAAATAATTATCTTATTTGTTTTTATTAGTCTTTCTTAAATACATATTTTTATTAATCTTTCTTAAATATATATGGCATTTCCTATATATATTTATTAAATATATATTTAAGACATTTCTTAAATATATATATTTAATATATATAGAGCTCACAGTTATTTCAATGTTTAATATTAAAGGTGTTTTGGTGTTTATTTGTAAGTTTGGCAATGTTTTTGTGACCAGAAATATGTTATAAGAACTTAACTCTCATATATATCAATTAGATCATGGTAAAATTGGTTTTCTTGTAAGTCATTTTGCTTAAAGTCGCAGTTTCCAAGAACCTACTGACAGACATTAAGTGAGGACTTATTGTACTTAGCTTGTTATCAGCTGTTTGGAGCAAGTGCTGTTACTGGTGGAGTCATCTTTCCCTCTGGGGCAAATGGAGCCACTCACCACCATTTACTGGATATGCATCCCCCAATTCCTGTGAAGGCAGAGCTGGATAATTAAAAAGAATGGGTGAAGTGGGCATAGTGGCATGAAACCGTAGTTCCAGCTATTTGGGAGGGTGAGGTGGGAGGACAGCTTGAGCTCAGGAGTTGGAGACCAGCTTGAGCAACATAGAAGAATGAACTAATGAATTAATTAAACAGTGGGTGAGCAGGAAAGGTGACAGGAATTTAGGTCTGATTTAGACATGGAGGGCATAAATGGACTATTGTAAAAAAAAAAAAAAACAAACCCCAGGTCTAATTCTTTGCATATTATTACTGTTCTGCCTAATTTACGGAGTTGAGGTGAGGAATTTTATTTAAGTAAGTTACTTATTCAAGTAAGTTTATTTATTTTTTATTTTTTGTTTTTTGAGACATGGTATGACTCTATTGCTCAGGCTGGAGTGCGTTTGCTCAATCATAGCTCATCAGAACCTCAAACTCCTGGGCTCAAGCGATCCCCTGCCTCAACCTCCTGAGTAACAGGGACTACAGGCCCATGCTACCATGCCCTGCTAATTAAAACAAATTTTTTGTAGAGATAGGGGTCTCACTATGTTGCCCAGGCTGGTCTTGAACTTGTAGTCTCAAGCAATCCTCCTGCCTCAGCCTCCAAAGCATTGAGGTTACAGGTATGAGCCACCACCCCCAGCCTCAAGTTAAGTTTAGAAGATAATCACCAATCAAGTATTTTAAATAGCAGTGGCTTAAATATAAATAGTAAAAACACAAAATATTAATAATGGCAAAGCTACTCCATAAAGTGAAAAGGGCAATGAATTGGGAAGTCAGAAATCTCTAGCTCCATCCATTTATGACAAAACTTAAGACTTCATATGTGCCAGATGCTGGAGACTCCAAGGTGAATACTAAACGCTTGCTATGGGAAAACAACTTGGTCTTTTCTTGAACCTTCTCACTTGGCAAGTGGAAGCTCACTTGGCTTTGTTTTGAATTAGCTTGAATTAAAAATGTTCAACTAGACTGAAACACATCAAATATATAAAATTCTAGTACTTCATTAAAACACAATTTACTACTTTTGGAGGTTGCTAGGCATTACTATTATTCTAAAAACTGATAAAAGGGGAAAAAATAAAGCATCTATCCTGCCTTTCCTGCATAATCTATCTGTATTTCAGGTAACCGAAGAGTTGTTGAGAGAAAAAAAAATACAAAATACATCACTGAGATTAGTTGAGAGCTAAAACTTCTGATAAACATTATCTGTTTGTCTACCTCAGGGGACACTTGAAAAGAGGCTGTCAAGGGATTAAAGGGAAAGCAAGCGCTTAGTGGGCTGCAAAAACACTCGTTAGGTCTAAGGTCGCATTCTGGCTCCAGAATGCCAGGGCTGCTGGGGCGGGCAGGAGCTGACAGCTCTTCCGTATCTGGGGCTCACAAGCATCAGGTGCATGGCAGGTCACCCTCCCGGCCAAGGGTGTTAAGCAGGCTCGCCTGAGTTCTGGGTGCGGCCCGCCTACCTTTCCAGTCTCTGCAGCAGCAACCCCAGTCCCCTCTACGGCTAGCAACCGAGAATGGGAAACCGCGAAAAAGACATGCTGCGGCAGGCCACGCCCAGAGCAGGCCTGCGCGTACCGCCGCCCACTTCCGGACGCGGGAGCTGGGGGAGGGGCCGAGCGCTGCGCAGGGCTCAGACGTGTGGCGAGGGGCTGCCCCCTGCCGGCAGCGAGCGGCGGGACCCGCGGGCCGCTTCTCGGACGACGACCCTGCCGCGCTTGCGGCCCTCTGCACCCTCCTCAGCAGCCCTGCGACAAGGCCCGGCTCCTGCTGCGATTATATTATTTTTATTTTTAACTCACAATTTCCTCTGGCCCTCAAAATGTTTTTTTGTTTGCGGGCAAGAGGGAGTTAGAGGAGGGTAAAAAAGACTTTGAATGTGAGGCAAAGATGGAGGAAGGCGTCCAGGACCCAGACTGGGACAGTGATGAAACCGTGATAGAGGGTTCAGTGACGGAGAGCGACCTGGAAGAAAAGGAGCTGCGCTGGAGAAGGTGACCATCATTAGGGCCACAGTGCCCGAACCCTCGCGCCAGGGCGGCCCAGGGGCCCTCTGAGAGGGTCAGAGTTTTGAGTGGAGATGATGACCAGAACATGTGCTTGTGGGCAGGATCAGAGCCTTGTGGGGCAGGCGTGCCTGAGCTGAGAGCTCGTAAATAAGCAACCACAGTCTGTCCCCACCTACCCCCAACCAGCTAGGGACAAAATGAGTTTTGTACTAGGTGGCTTTGTAGCATTTTTCAAAAGGCGTTCCTTTTTGGGGGCTTTAAGTCTTTTTGCACAAGCAAAAAAGATCTGGGGTCTGAACTTAACTGCATTTTGCTTCAAGAGACTTGTAGCTCAGTTCTGGGAAAATGGGTAACGGTTTCTCTCAAGAAAAAGGATGCGTGAGGCCGGGCGCGGTGGCTCACGCCTGTAATCCCAGCACTTTGGGAGGCCGAGGCGGGCGGATCACAAGGTCAGGAGATCAAGACCATCCTGGCTAACACGGTGAAACCCCGTCTCTACTAAAAAATACAAAAAATTAGCCGGGCGAGGTGCCGGGCGACTGTAGTCCCAGCTACTCGGGAGGCTGAGGCGGGAGAATGGCGTAAACCCGGGAGGCGGAGCTTGCAGTGAGCTGAGATCAGGCCACAGCACTCCAGCCTGGGTGACAGAGCGAGACTCCGTCTCAAAAAAAAAAAAAAAAAAAAATTCATTCATAGTTTTTGGTTGTAATGAGAAATAGGCAGAGGTTGCAGTGAGCCAAAATGACTCCACTGCACACCAGCCTGGACGACAGAGTGAGACTGCATCTCAAAAACAAATAACAAAATAAAAGTACCAGCAAGACTTTCTGTTGAACTAGACAACTGATTCCAAAGTTTGTATGGTAAAATAATTAAAAGCAATTAGGAAAAGTCTGAAAAATAAGAACAATAAGGAGGTAATGACCTACAGGATATTAAAATATTTTCTGATATAAAATATTTTAAATATGATACTGGCACATAAAGTGACAGATCAATAAACAGCATAAAAGCCCCCAAAATAAAATCACATACATATGGGAATTTAGTATATTAAAGAGGTGGCATCTCAAACCGGTGAGGAAATGATGGGATTTTTCAAAAAATGATATTGGGACAATGAAGGATATATGTAGAAAATAGTTTAGTTGAATCCATACTTTACACTGTGCTCCAAAAAAATTCCATATGAATCAAAGATTTAAATGTTAAAAAAAAAAAAAAAGTATTACAAGAAGCCAAGGAGGGATTATTTTATAACTGTGGAGGAAGAAAGGCATAATTATAATACAAAACTCAAAAACTCACTGAAGCCTCTAACTCCTAGGGCGAAGTGATCTTCCTGAGTAGTGAGGACTATGAGCATGAGTAATCATGCCCAGTCTATACTGGTTTTTGAATTTTGAACCATATAAATATACTGTCTATTCAAAAACACTATAGGAAACATGGGCAATAAAAAGAAGCATGAATGAGATAGAAATCTGATCTAATTCTACCTGTATTAAGACTTTGGTATATTTTCTTCCAGCTTTCTATATAGGCTTTTGTGTGTGCACCTATAATTCTTTTACAAAGTTTGAATCAGTTTGTACAAGTTTACAGTTTTCACTTAACATTATTTTTAAACATTTGCAATGTCATTAAAATTCTTCCCTAAATTATTGATAGTTTTCTGTCATAAAGATATAATTTATTGAAGCATTATATGATTCTAAAACAAAACATTTCGTTTTTTAAATTTTTTGTTATTGCAAATAACTCTGAGATAATTTCCTTAAACATTAAATGTTGGGGTTTTTAAAAATAATTTCCTTAGGAAAGAATCAGGACTTTATTATATATATATTTTTTTGAGATGGAGTCTTGTTCTATCACCCAGGCTGGAGTGATCTCAGCTCACGGCAGCTTCCACCCACCCAGGTTCAAGCCATTCTCCTGCCTGGGCCTGCTGAGTAGCTGGGACTATAGGCACACACCACCATGCCCAGCTAATTTTTGTATTTTTAGTATAGATGGGGTTTCGCCGTGATGGCCAGGCTGGTCCCGAACTCCTGACTTCAAGTGATCTCCCCACTTCAGCCTCCCAAAGTGCTGGGATTACAGGCATGAGCCATTGCACCCGGCCCTTATTGGTACTTTTATTGGTATAATGTTAATTTTTTATGTTTACATATTAGAATATTAACATATTTATATTAGTTTTTTCATTTTTAATTAAGATTGTAGTAGGGGCAGAAATTCTGCCTTTCCCCTCATAGGACCCTGGTTAAGCCTAAGAATTAAATATGAAATAGATTAAATACTTTAAATATTAAAACTTCTGTAAATTTAAAATAAGTTTTATGGGACACAGGAGTCCTCATAAGGAAATGAAGACCCAAAGAAATAGCAAAACCTGGTCGGGCATGGTAGCTCATGTGTGTTATCCCAACACTATGGGAGGCTGAGGTGGGCAGATCACTTGAGGTCAGGAGTTCGAGACCAGCCTGGCCAACAAGGTGAAAACCTGTCTCTATTAAAAATACAAAAATTAACCGGACATAGTGGCATGCACCTGTAGTCCCAGCTACTCAGGAGGCTGAGGCAGGAGAATAGCTTGAACCCGGGAGGTGGAGGTTGCAGTAAGCTGAGATCATATCACTGCACTCCAGCCTGGGCAACAGAGCAAGACTCCCATCTCAAAAAAAGAAAAAAAAAAAAAAGAAATGGCAAAACGTTTATGCTTTTGTATTAGGTTAAACAGAGAGGCAGTTGTGGAAAAGTAACTAAATTATGTAGGGAGGCTAAAGGAAGATAAGAATTATTTTAACAAGATCTGTTTGTACAGAATTCTCTTGACTATTGAAAAATGTTTCTTTTCTCCTTCTACAGGGAGGGCATCTTTTACATAGGAGTTTTTATCTCCTGTTTTCAAGAAGAAAAAGGGAAGCATCTGCTGTTTTTCAAGTTGCCTTTAGCTCAGAGTAATCCGTATGTCACAGTGGCTTATTTTGGGGTGGCATATTCTGTCACCCTTCAAGGAGGAATTTACGTAAAGTTCACCTTTTAAAGCATACAATTCTGAGTTTTGACAAACATAATTGTGTAACTACTATCACAATCAAGATATAGAATAGTGTCATTATACCCTAAAATTCTTCCATACCCCTTTTGTGTTATTTTTAAATAAAAAAAAAAAAAACTCACAAAATTTGGTTGGGTGCAGTGGCTCACACCTGTAATCCCAGCATTTTGGGAGGTTGAGACCTGAAGGTCAGGAGTTTGAGACCAGCCTGGCCAATATGGTGAAACCCTGTCTCTACTAAAAATATAAAAATTAGCTGGGCCTGGTGGCAGGCAATTGTAATCTCAGCTACTCAGGAGACTGAGGCAGGAGAATCACTTGAACCTGGGTGGTGGAGGCTGTAGTGAGCTGAGATGGCACCACTTCATTCCAGCCTGGGTGACAGAGTGACTGTGTCTGAAAAGAAACAAACAGACAAACAAAAATCTCACAACATTTTAAGAGGTAAACTTACACTTTTAGGGACATTAATAGATAGTTTTGCTTTTTGGAGGGACATTAATAGATGGTTTACTTCTTGGAAAAATGCACTATAACTGTGGTATAATTCATATTCTAATAATGAATTTTTAATCCTTAGTAATGGTCAATAGAAAAGAGCCAAGAAAATGCTTCTCTTCTTATAGCAGGAGCCTGTACTCACTCTCACAGAGGGTGTGTTATAACAGAAAAGTTAAGGACTGGAGTCATTTTCATTGCCAATTTTTCTGATGCTGAGAACTATTGGAAAGTTTTGGGTGTGTGTTTTTGTTTTTAGAGACAGTGTCTCACTTTGTCACTTAGGCTGGAGTGCAATGGCCTGATCATAGCTCACTGCAGCCTTGAACTGGTCTCAAGCCATCTTCTTGCTTCAACCTCCTGAGTAGCTGGGATTACAAGCATGAGTGACAGTATCTGGCTTAATTTTTCATTTTTCATAAACAGCCATCTTGAGTATGAAGTAGTATCTCGTGGTTTTGATTTGCATTTCCCCAACAATTAGTGATGATGAACATCTTTTCATGTACTTGTTGGCTATTTGTATTTCCTCTTTGCAGAAATGTCTATTCAAGTCTTTTGTCCATTTTCTGCCCATTTAAATAGAAAAGATAAATATTTTAGTTTGCCTAATAGCATACTCATGGCATATCATGCTTATTTTCATAGCTCTGTATCCCTTACTAGATTTGGAGCTTCCTGGGGGCAAGGACTGTGTGTCTTCTCTCTTTGTTACTGTGATGTTCCCTTGAACATAGTAAGAAGTAAACCCAAAAATTAAAGGAATCTGGGCCAGGTATGGTGGCTCATTCCTGTAATCCCAGCACTTTGGGAGGTCAAGGCAGGATCATTTAAGCTCAGGAGTTCAAGACCAGCCTGGGCAACATGATAAGACCCTGGCTCTACAAAAAAATATATTAAAAAAATAGCCAGGCATGGTGGTGCACACCTGTAGTCCCAGCTACTTGGGAGGCTGAGGCCGGAGGATCTCTTGAGCCCAGAGTTTGAAGTGAGCCAAGGTCATGCCACTGCACTACAGCTTGGGTGACAGAGAGAGACCGTGTCTCAAAATAAATAAATAAAGGAATTCTGTCAGTACATACTATGAAAACATATACTCAGATGTAATCCTGGAATATTAATCTCAAGTTCTCTGGTATAGAGAAATGTGAAGGAAAAAAAGCCACGAACACTGGTCCCTCAAATGATCTCGTTTTATCTCTTTTCAAAAAGTTATTAAGGTTTATTAGACTAGAGACAGTGATATTTGTCCCTTACCCCCAAATATTAAAAGATAATAACAGAATATTTGTAAAATTAACATGACTATATACATGAGTCTTTATTTTTCATCTTGGGTGTGTTTTCAATCAAATTGTACATTTCTGAAATAACACTTTGAAATAGAAACATTAATAGTGGTATAACTAAGAATTTTAGCAAGCTTTGGTATAATACAAATGATGGTTAAAATGTAGTCTTTGTTTAAGATACATTAACAACTTGTGTCTTCCCTTTTGGTATTTGAAAGGTTGCTGTTTGATCAAGACACAGCTCTTAAATCTGAGTTCAGTCTGCATCCTGATACAAGAGGAATGTGCGAAGGTGAGAATGATTCTTTTCATTAAGTAGTCCCTTTAGTTTCCCAGTAAGTCCTCATTTAATGTCATTGATAGGTTCTTGGAAACTGAGACGTTAAGCAAAATAAATTATAAGGAAACCAATTTTACCATAAGCTAATTGTTATAAATAACCGTTAAGCTTCTATAACATATTTCTGGTCACAAGAACATCACTGAACCTAAATAAATGCCAACACACTTCTGATAGTAAACATTGAAATAAATGTGAGCTATATATACATTTAAGAAAGATTAATACAAACGAGTAACGTAATTGTTTGCCCAGTTATTCCACTTCAGGGTTGAGTGTCACCGAAGCCTATCCTGGCAGCTCAGGGCTCAAGGCAGGAGTCAACCCTGGACTGGAGGCCACTCCATTGAAGAATGCACGCACGCACACACACACACACACACTCACACACACACACACAGACACACATACACACACTTGTATTGGGACCATTTAGACATGCCACTGAACCTAACAGGCACATCTTTGGGATGTGGGAAGAAACTGGAGTACCTGCAGGAAACCCATGCAAACATGGGGAGAACATACAAATTCCACAGACAGTGGCCCATGCTGGGAATTGATGTTTTTTTTTTGAGACGGAGTCTCGCTCTGTTGCTCAGGCTGGAGTACAGTGGCATGATCTCGGCTCACTGTAACCTTTGCCTCCTCGGTTCAAGTGATTCTTCTGCCTCAGCCTCACGAGTAACTGGGACTATGTGTGCGCACCACCAGACCCGGCTGAATTTTGTATTTTTAGTAGAGATGGGGTTTCACCATATTGGCCAGGCTGGTCTCGAACTCCTGACCTCGTGATCCGCCCACCTCGGCCTTTCAAAATGCTGGGTTTACAGGCGTGAGTTGATTTTTTAAAATCAATGTTGAAATGAAGTTATTCAAGGACCTGCTGATTACCATTTCATTAACTCCTCTTTTCATCCTTAGTCTTGTTCCTTAATTTTAACAGACTTAGATTCCTAGAAAGGGCAATGGAGGTATTGAAGTGCCACCCATATAACCTTTTTTCTTTTCCAAATCTCTAGCCTAACCCTAGAACCTGTCTATTTGTAAAAGTAAATAATGCTTTTTAATAACCAGTCTTATTTTTCTAGATTAAAATTAGGGCACACACATCCTTAGTAAATATGTATTGTAAACGTGCCTTTCTTCTACCAATTCACTAAACTTCCTGAGGCCACTTCTAGGTTGATTTAAACATTTCTAGAAAAATCTATCACCGATAGTCCTTGTTCAGAAAGACCAATTCTGTGGTAGTTGTTTAAATGATAGGTTGTTTCTCTTTATAGTTTCTTCCTGTGAGCCTTTAAAAAAATCTTTTTTTGGAGGATGTGTGGAAATAAGTGTGAAATAGAAAAACAAAATTCCTAAACATCCACAAAGGTCTTCTAACTTTTGTGTATTTATGGTTCACGGTCTTTTCACTGTACATCATCTCACCTGATACCTAGGTGGGAAGTTACAGTTTCATCTTGGAGTGCTTTTCCTCACATGTAATTGGAAGGGACAGTGTATAATACTGATCTCCAGGATGCCTTCTTATGATGTATAAAGTACCACTAGAAAGGAGTTAGAGGTCTGTTTCAATATTCCAACCAAGTTTAATTTTTTTTTCTTTTCCAAATGGATAAATCTTTACTATGTCGCTGGTTATTAAAAATATTAAAATATAAAAGTATATCATGTAGAAAATGAAAGGTCATGTTCCTTACTCTTCCCTATAATTCTACTCCCAATGAAGTTTATTTAAGCACAAGATCCATGATTCAAAAGGAAAACTAGCAATCATTTTTTAGACTCATTTATTTCTACTAAATGACAGATTGCTCTACATTCAACATCTACATACAAAAAAAGTTATAAAATTGTCCTTGGTTTTGCAAAGATAAATGAAAAACACTAAAATTCTCCAGTCAAACAAGGCATGCAAGGATTTTTATGTTTTTTTTTTGTGTGTGTGTGTGTGTTAAAATAGAGCAAAATAACTTACTGCATTATAAAGGTAAGAGCTGAGTGAGCATGCTACTAATGGAGAAAGTGGGTATTTTCACATAGCCAGTGTTTTTTTCCCTCCTAACTTCATTTGATGTCAGTCAAAACCTTTCACTGGCCATATAGTAAAACAAAAGAATGCAATATGTTTGTGTACATACACTAGTTACTTTATGTACAGTAAAGCAGCGGTCTCCAACCTTTTTGGCACCAGGGCCCAATTTCATGGAAGATAATTTTTCCAAGGATGGTGGTTGGGGGTATGGTTTTAGGATGAAACTGCTCCATCTCAGGTCATCAGGCATTAGAGTCTTATAAAGAGTGTGCAACCTGGATCCCGCGCATGTGCAGTTAACAGTAGGGTTTGCACTCCTATGAGAATCTAATGCTACTACTGATGAGATAGGAGGTGGAGCTCAGGTAATAATGGTGGCTCGCCTGCTGCTTACCTTCTACCGTGTAGCCTGATTCATAACAGGCCACGGATGGGTACTGGTCCATGGTCCAGAGATAGGGGACCCCTGCAGTAAAGGAATAGAGAAGAGAAAATGAAACACTAGAGAAAACTATGCTATATTAGGATATGGTAGAATGAAATTGTTTTCTAACTGAGAATGTATTTCTGGTCTGTAAAAATAGAGTTATGGAGTAAAGTACCAGGTTTTCTTTCTTTTTTTAATTTTTAATTTTTAAGTTTGTGGGTACATAGTAGGTTATATATTTATGGGGTATATGAGATATTTAGGCATGATAATCACATCAGGGTAAATGGGGTATCCATCACTTTAAGCATTTATCCTTTATATTTCAAACAATCCAATTATATTCTTTTATTATTTTACAATGTACAATTAATTAATTTTGACTCTACTCACTCTGTTGTGCTAGCAAACAGTAGGTCTTATTCATTCTTTCTATTTTTTTGTACCCATTAACCATCCCTACATCCTCCTCAGCCCCCAATATTTTTCCCAGCCTCTGGTAACCATCCTTCTACTTCTTATCTCCATGAGTTCAATTGTTGTGATTTTTGGTTCCCACAAATAAGTGAGAATATGTGAAGTTTGTGTTTTTGTTCCTGGCTTATTTCACTTGTGACCTGCAGTTCCATCCACGTTGCAAATGATAGAATCTCATTCTTTTTCATGGCTGAATAGTACTCTACTGTGTATATATATCACATTTCCTTTATCCATTTATCTGCTGATGGACACTTAGGTTGCTTGCAAATCTTGGTTCTTGTGAATAGTGCTAAAATAAACATGGGAGTTCAGATATCTCTTTAATATACCGATTTTCTTTCTTTTGGAAAGGAAAATCCCAGATACCTAGGAGTGGGATTGCTGGATTGTATGGTAGCTATATTTCTGTTTTTGTGAGGGATTGCCAAAGTGTTTTCCACAGTGATTGTACTAATTTACATTCCCACCAACAGTGTATGATGGTTCACTTTTCTCCACATCTTCACCAGCATTTGTTATTGCCTGTTGTTTGCATAAAGGCCATTTTTAACTGGAGTGAGATGATATTTCATTGTAGTTTTGATTTGTATTTCTCTGATGATCCATGATGTTGACTACCTTTTCATATATCTGTTTATCATTTGTATGTCTTCTTTTGAGACATGTTTGTTCAGATCTTTTGCCCATTTTAAAATCCAATTATTGTATTTTTTTCCTATAGAGTTGTTTGAACTCCTTAGGTATTCTGGTTATTAATTCCTTGTCACATGGATAGTTTGCAAATATTTTCTCCCATTCTGTGATATCAGGGTAATACTGTCCACCACTGGGATAGACCTAAAGTACTCCCGTAGCCACCACCACTGGTTCAGACCTGAACCCAGCAGGGTACTGAGTCTTGCCCAAGGCCTGCTGTAGCCATTACCTGGCTACCACCTATGTTCACTACAGCTCTACAATCAGCAGGTAGCAAAACCAGCCAGGCTTGTGTCCTTCCCTTCAGTGCAGTGAGCTCCCCTAATCCTCACGCAGGTCTAGAGATGCTGTCTGGGAGCCAGAGACTGGAATAAAAACCCTTAGAAATTTACCTGGTATTCTGTTCTACTGTGGCTGAGCTGGCATTCAAACCAAGAGACACAGTCCTTCCCACTCTTCCTTCCCCTTTCCATGGGTGGAAGAGCCTCAACCCCATGGCCACCACTACTATAGGTCCAAGGCGGAATACTGCCAGGCTACTGCCAGTGTTCACTTAATGCCCTAGGGCTCTTCAGTCAGCTTGTGGTGAATGCTGTCAGGTCCGGAACCCACCCTTCAGGGCACTGGGCTCCCCTCTGGCCCAGGGCAGGTCCAGAAATGCTGTTCAAGGTCTTCTCAAATCAGTGATCTCAAAAGCCTCCTTGGTGCTCTATGCATTGTGGCTGAGTGCATACCTAAGGTGTAAGACAAAGTCCCCTTTACTTTTCCCTCTACCCTTCTCAAGCAGAAGGCCTCCTCCACCTTTCTCACCATAGCCACCATAGCTGTCAGTATGCTAGGTCTCACCTGAAACCACATGTCGGAGTCTTAGGTTTTCTTTTAAGTAGACACCTCCTATCTCCTCTTGGAACACATCAGTTTTATCTTCATCCACATTTGTGCTTGTGTCATTGGTTGCCTGTCAAATTGGAATCTAATCTGTCTACAAACCCTGTCATTCACAATAGGCTTTCATTAGTTTACTAAGTGGTGTATGACTCCTAATCCTAAACTGTACCACATGACCATCCTGCCTGCTGCCTTCAAATTAATATGGTCATTGTTCTTAGTATTGACTCCTTGGTCAACAAAAAGTCCTTAGGGATTTTGTTGACCATGGCGATCAACGGAGTCTCTCCACCTGCTGGTATACAAAAGAGGTACTAGGTCCATGTTGGAGTCTACCTCATCCTTTTACATTGCTACGTATTATTCCTGCCAAGACCAGCTTGGTCAGGGAGACCCTGACCCAGCAGCACTAGAGGAATTAAAGACACACACACAGAAATATAGAGGTGTGAAGTGGAAAATCAGGGGTCTCACAGCCTTCAGAGCTGAGAGCCCTGAACAGAGATTTACCCACATATTTATTAACAGCAAGCCAGTCATTAGCATTGCTTCTATAGATGTTAGATTAACTAAAAGTATCCCTTATGGGAAATGAAGGGATGGGCTGAAATAAAGGGATGGGTTGGCCTAGTTATCTGCAGCAGGAGCATGTCCTTAAGGCACAGATTGCTCATGCTGTCGTTTGTGGTTTAAGAACGCCTTTAAGCAGTTTTCTGCCCTGGGTGGGCCACGTGTTCCTTGCCCTCATTCCGGTAAACCCACAACCTTCCAGCATGGGTGTTTTGGCCATCATGAACATGTCACAGTGCTGCAGAGATTTTGTTTATGGCCAGGTTTGGGGCCAGTTTATGGCCAGATTTTGGTGGGCCTATTCCCAACAATTCCATTGTATGAATGTACCTTATTTAATGAATTAATGATATTTAATGTTTTTCAATACTATTACAAAATATGAATATATTAATAGTTATAACTTTGCCTGCTTTTCTGATTATTTCCTTAGAATAACTATCTAAAACTTTGTGCTCAGCTCTTGACATATATTTCCCCCTAAAAAGATGTCTCCTTCTCCCTACAATCAATACAGGACATAATTCAGTCTGTGTCAAATAAAAAGTATCTGATTTAGTTTTGCATTTTCAAAGAATACCAGTGTTAGGCCTATTTTAATATTGATAATTCATAATTTTTTTGTGTGTGAATTGCCTGCATCTGTCTCCAAATTATTTTCATTTTATTATTGATTTATAAGAGCATTTTATATATTAAAGATAGCAAATCTTTGTCATATATATTGTGAATAGTTTTACCCAGTTTTCTGGTTATCTTTTAATATTATTCATGATATATTTTGCAGTGAAGAAATTTTAAGTTTTTGTGTAGTAAAAGCTGTTGGTCTTCTCTTTTAGGGTTTGTTCTTTCTCTATCAGACTTAGAAATACTTCAGTGATCTCAAAACCATAAAGAGATATTTTTAATCTTTATTTCCATTGATTATATTTATAGCTTTTATATTTTTAACATTTGGAGTATTTTGGCATATGAGAAAGGTAGGGTTCAAACTTTATTTTTTTGAAATGGTTAACCAATTTTCCCAATATCATTTATTGAATAATCCATCTTGTTGCCATGGTTTAAAATACCATTGTCATATATTAAATTTCCATATATATGTATGTATGTATGTCCATTTTCTACTTACTGTTTTGTTTCATTGACCTGTTTGACTATTTCTGTGACTGTTTTGTCACTACATTATTTTATTATCCTTAACTTTAGTATAATATATTTCTATATATGGTAGGGAAGATATCCTGTCATACAGAGTAATTGGCCACAGCATTCATCCTAAGTTTCTTTGGTACAAACAGCAAGCTCAATGCAGTATGACATTAATCACAGTGTTCTTCCGATTTACCTTCTTCCAACTTTTGTTAGTGGGTTTTTCTCTGAACTGGGTGGTTTTCTGGAATTCTAATGGAAGAAATGTATGTGTAGATAGATAGATAGATAGATAGATAGATAGATAGATAGATAGATAGTTATTTCTGAGAGATCTCTTCCTTTTCCTGTGTTGTGTGATGAGCTGTGTCTTAGTCAACTTGGGCTGCTATAACAAAATACTATAAACTGGATAGTTCGATCTACAGACATGTAGTTTTCACAGTTCTGGAGGATGAGAAATCCAAAATCAAGGTGCTGGCAGATTTGGTTCTTGGTGAGGACCCTCTTCCTGGATTGTGCAGATGGCTGCTACATTGCTGTGTGCTCACGTGACCTCCTCTTTGTGCTCAGGGAGAGAGAGGTCTGGTTTTTCTATCTTTTTATAAGGATATTAATTCCAGGAGGGATTATGAGGGCTTCACCCTCAATACCTCATCTAAACCCAACTACCTCCCAAAGATCTTACCTTCTATTATCATCACATTGGCGGGTAGGGCATCAGCATATGAATTTGGCTGGGGCAGGTGTGCACAGGCATTCGGTCTATAACAAGCTGTTTACTACTGTTTGGATTTCCTTGAATCCATTCTCATCTTGTGATCTATACGGGGGTATATTTCTATATTCCTTTCCTTTCCGTTGTTGCTTCAGATGTTCAAAAACCAAAAATCTAGTAATTTCTTTGGATATTTTTCTATGAACTTGGAAAGTTATCTATGTACTTTCTATGTGTATTGGTTGCCTTTATTCATCCTGAGACAAAGAAATATCAAGTATTATTTCATTCAATGTAGTATATGTGTTTCCTCTTAATAATTAAAAAAATTAACAGATAAAAGTGGCAGTTAAGAAATTATGATATACTATAAACATATAAAACAAGCTCAACATCACTGATCATCAGAGAAATGCAAATTAAAACCGCAAGGAGATACCATCTCATGCCTGTCAGAATGGTAATTATTAAAAAGTCAGGAAACAATAGATGCTGGCAAGGCTGTGAAGAAATAGGAATGCTTTTACACTGTTGGTGGGAATGTATATTAGTTCAACCATTGTGGAAGATAGTACAGCGATTCCTCAAGGATCTAGAACCAGAAATACCATTTGACCCAGCAATTCCATTACTGGGTGTAAACCCAAAGGATTATGAATCATTCTACTATAAAGACACATGCACATGTATGTTTACTGCAGCACTATTTACAATAGCAAAGACCTGGAACCAACCCAAATGCCCATCAATGATAGACTGGATAAAGAAAATGTGGTACATATACACCATGAAATACTATGCAGCCACAATCTCAGTCCTTTGCAGGGACATGGATGAAGCTGGGAACCATCATCCTCAGCAAACTAACACAGGAACAGAAAACCAAACACTGCATGTTCTCATTCATAAGTGGGAGTTGAACATTGAGAACACATGGACACAGAGAGGGGAACACACACACACACACCTGGGCCTGTTGGGGGTTGAGGGGTGAGGGGAGGGAACTTAGAGGATGCATCAATAGGTGCAGCAAACCACCATGGCACACATATACCTATGTGTGGCACACATATACCTGCACGTTCTGCACATATATCCCCCTTTTTTTAAGAAGAAATAAAAAAAGAAATTATGATATTCTAGATGATTCTTAATGACATTTTGCATGCCTATAAAATTCTTGGGCCATTGCCAAGCAGAGCAATAAAACTGTTGCCAACGTTTTATGATTATGTTTCATTCTAGGCATGCCTTCTCCTGAGATTCAACTTGGATTTAAGCTCAAAGAGGATCTGCAAGAGCAAATGAGTAAAAATAGGATGATGCCTATTCTTAGCGAGGATACAATATTACAGGTGTGTAGCGTGTTGATTGAATACACACTCATTAAAAATTGGAAATGCTATCAGAGTGGCAAATTGCTAATTCTTATTCTTTTTGTCTATTATTTTGCTTCTTTCCTCTTTTCTTATTAATTTTTACCTCTTTCTTAACCAGTCATTCTATTTCTTTGCTGAAACTTTGATGAAAACAATTGTTTTAGGAGGGAGGATTTAAAATACAGTTGACCCTTGAACAATTTGGGAGTTAGGGATGCTGACCCTTTGTGCAGTCAGAAATCCACATACAACTTTTGACTCTCCCAAAACTAAACTACTAATAGCCTACTGTTGACTAGAAGCCTTACTGATAGTCAATACATATTTTGTCTTTTATATGTATTATATACTGCATTGTTACAACACAGTAAGATAGAGAAAAGAAAATGTTGAGATGATAAAGAAGAGAAAATATATTTACTATTCATTAAGTGCAAGGGGGTCATCATAAAGATCTTCATCCTATCATCTTCACGTTGAGTAGACTGGGGAAGAAAAAGAGAGAAAGAGGAGGGGTTGGTTTTGCTTTCCCAGGGGTGGCAGGGGTTGAAAAAAATTCATGTGTAAGTGAACCCACACAGTTCAAGCCTGTGTTGTTCAAAAGTGAACTGTGTTTTCTTTTGTCTACTCTTATACCTCTTATGTTTTTCGCCCTTTAGTAGAGATGCAGATATGAGAGGAATAGAGGTTAAAATAGGATGTAATAATTATGAGTTTCATCTCCATTTTATATTAGGGATTATTCTTAAACTTGTGAAGAAGATATAGCCTGTATGGTATAATTTGAGATATAGGCCACTGAAAAGACACTTCTGTTGTCTTGTGTGTGAGTGTATGTATGTGTATGCGCACGCACACACACACACATACTAATAATTTTTACTTTTTTTTGTCTTTTAAAATATGATTTTGACATTTATGTCATTTCAAACTGCATGTAGATTTCTGACAATCAAATTTTTTTGGTGTACAGATTATTATCACCTGCGTACTAAGCATAGTACCTGACAGTTTTTTTTTTTTTTCTGAACCTTTTCCTTCTCCCATCATTCTCCCTCAAGCAAGCTCCAGTATCTGTGTTTCCCCTCCTTCTGTCCATGTGTTCTCATGATTTAGCTCCTACTTATAAGTGAGAATATGCATTACTTGGTTTTCTGTTTCTGTATTAATTTGCTAAGGATAATGGCCTCCAGTTCCATCCATGTTGCTGCAAAGACATAATCTCATTCTTTTTTATGACTGCATAGTATTCTACCACGTGCCACCATGCCTGGGTAATTTTTGTATTTTTAGCAGAGACAGGGTTTTGCTATGTTGGCCAGGCTGGTCTCAAACTCCTGACCACAAGCGATCTGCCCACTTTGACCTCCCAAAGTGCTGTGATTACTAGCATAAGCCATTGCACCTGGCCTGTTATTCTTTAACTTTTAATAGCCATTTTGACTGGTGTGAGCTGGTATCTCACTGATTTGCATTTCCTGAATAATTAGTATGCTTGTTGACCACATATATGTCTTCTTTTGAAAAGTGTCTGTTCATGTATTTTGCCCACTTTTTTTTTTTTTTTTTTTTTGAGATGGAGTTTTGCTCTTGTTGCACAGTCTGGCGTGCAATGGCACAATCTCAGCTCACCGCAATCTCTGCCTCCCAGGTTCAAAGAATTTTCCTGCCTCTGCCTTCCGAGTAGCTGGGATTACAGGCATGCGCCACCATGCTTGGCTAATTTTTTTGTATTTTTAGTAGAGATGGAGTTTCTACGTGTTAATTAGGCTGGTCTTGAACTTTTGATCTCAGGTGATCTGCCCGCCTCGGCCTCCCAAAGTGCTGGGATTACAGGCGTGAGCCACTGTGCCCGGCTATTGCCCACTTTTTAATGGAGGTGTTTTTTGTTTATACATTTGTGTAAGTTTCTTGTAGATTCTGTATATTAGACCTTTGTCAGATGTATAGTTTGCAAACATTTTCTCCCATTCTGTAGGTTGCCTGTCAAACGTTTTGTACCATTCTGTAGGTTGCCTGTTTACTCTGTTGATAGTTTCTTTTGCTGTGCAGAAGCTGTTTGGTTTAATTAGGTCCCATTTGTCAGTTTTTGTTTTTCTTGTGGTTGCTTTTGGAATTTTCATCACCAAATCTTTGCCAGTTCCTATGTCCAAAATAGTATTTCCTAGGTTATCTTCCAGGGTTTTATAGTTTTAGGTTTTATATTTAGATCTTTAATCCATCTTGAGTTGATTTTTATATAAGGTATAAGAAAGGGGTTCAGTTTCAACCTTCTGTATATACTAGCCAGTTATCCCAGCACCATTTATTGAATGAGGAATTCTTTCCCCATTGCTCGTTTTTGTCAGCTTTGCCAAAGATCAGATTGTCATAGGTGTGTAGCTGTATTTCTGGGCTTTCTCTTCTGTTCCATTGGTTTATGTTTCTATTTTTGTACCAGTACCATGCTGATTTGGTTATGGTAGCTTTTTACAGTTTGAAGACAGGCAATGTGATTCCTCCTGCTTTTTCTTTTTGCTTAGAATTGCCTTGGCTATTCGGGCTCTTTTCTGGTTCCATATGAATTTTAGAATAGTTTTTTCTGGTTCTGTGAAGGATGTCATAGCATTGAATCTGTAAATTGATTTGGGTGATACGGCCGTTTTAACAATATTGAGTCTTCCTATTCATGAGTATGGAATGTTCTTCTGTTTGGGTCATATATGATTTCTTTGAGCAGTGTTTTGTAATTCTCATTGTAGAGATCTTTCACCTTCCTAGTTAGCTGAATTCCTGGTTTTTTGTTTGTTTTTGTTTTTGTTTTGTTGTTGTTGTTTTACCAATTATGAATGGGACTGTGTTACTTTTGACTGTCAGTTTGGTGTTGCTCTTGGTGTATAGAAATGCTACTGATTTTTGTACATCAATTTTGTATTCTGAAACTTTGCTGAAGTTGCTTATCAGCTCAAGGAGCTTTTGGGCAGAGACTGTGGGGTTTTCTAGATATAGAATAATGTCATCTGCCAACAGAGATTAGTTTGACTTCCTCTTTTTTTATTTGGATGCCTTTTATTTCTTTCTCTTACCTGACTGTTCTGGCCAGGACTTCCAATACTATGTTGAATAGGAGTGGTGAGAGAGGGCATCCTTATCTTGTTCTGGTTTTCAAGGGGAATGCTTCCAAGTTTTGCTCATTCAGTATGAAGTTTGATGGTGACTGCGGCTTTGTCATAGGTGGCTCTTATTATTTTGAAGTATGTTCCTTCAATGCCTAGTTTATTGAAAGTTTTTAACATGAAATGATTTGAATTTGATTGAAAGCCTTTTCTGCATCTGTTGGGGTAATCATGTGGTTTTTGTCTTTATTTCTGTTTATGTGGTGAGTCACATTTATTGATTTGAGTATGTTGAAGCATTCCAGAGATAAGGCCTACTTTATCCTGGTGAATTAGCTTTTTGTTGTGCTAATTCACTTTTGGTTTGTTAGTATTTTGTTGAGAATTTTGATGAGCATCTATGTTCATCAAGGATATTAACCTGAAGTTTTCTTTATTTGTTGTGGCTCTGCCAGGTTTTAGTATCAGGATTATGGTGGCCTCATAGAATGAGTTGGGGATGAGTCTCTCCTCCTCAATTTTTTGTAATAACTTCAGTAGGAATGGCACCAACTCTTCTTTGTACATCTGTTGTAATTCAGCTGTGAATCTCTCTGGTCCTGGGCTTTTTTTAGTTGGTAGGCTGTTTATTACTGATTTAATGTCAGCACTCTTTATTGGTCTATTTAAGTATTCAATTTCTTCCTGATTTAGTTTTGGGAGGATGTATGTGTCCAGGAATTTATCCATTTCTTCTAGAATTTTAGATTTATGTGCATAGAGGTGTTGATAGTTGTCTCTGATGGCTATTTGCATTTCTGTGGGGTCAGTGGTAACATCTTCTTTGCCATTTCTAATTATGTTTATTTGGATATTCTCTCTTTTCTTCTTTATTAGTCTACCTAGAATTCTGTCTGTCCTATTAATTTTTTCCAAAGAACCAACTCCTGGATTTGTTGATCTTTTGTATGGTTTTTGTGTCTCTGTCTCCTTCAGTTCAGCTCTGATTTTTGGATATTTCTTGTCTTCTGCTAGCTTTGAGGTTGCTTTGCTCTTGCTTCTCCAGTTCTTCTAGTTGTGATGTTTGGTTGTTAATTTGAGAAATAAGATCCTTTTGAGACAAGCAAATGCTCAGGGGATTCATTACCACCAGAACTTCCTTACAAGAGCTCCTAAGAAGCACTAAATATGAAAAGTAAAGATTGTTACCAGCCACAACACAAACACACTTAAGTACACAGACCAGTGACCGTATAAAGCAACCATACAAACAAATCTGCATGATAACCAGCTAACAACATGATGGCAGGATCAAATCCACACATATCAATACTAACCTTCAATATAAATGAAGTAAATGTCCCCATTAAAAGGCACAGAGTGTCAAGCTGAATAAAGAGGTATGACCCAGAGATAAGCTGTCTTCAAGAGACCCATCTCACATACAGTGATACCCATAGGCTCAAAATAAAAGGTTGGAGAAAAATCCACCAAGCAAATAGAAAACAGAAAAAAGCAGGTGATGCCGTCCTAATTTCAAACAAAACAGCCTTTTAGAAACAAAGATCAGAAAAGACAAAGAGGGGCATTCCCTTCCCTAGTCCATAGCAAGAAAAAGAAGGGCACTACATAATGGTAAAGGATTCCATTCAACAAGAAGACCCAACTGTTTTATATCTGTATGCACCCAACTCAGGTGCACCCATATTCATGGAGCAAGTTCTTAGAGACCTAAGAAGAGGCTTAGACTCCCACACAATAATACTGGGAGACTTCAACACCACACCAACAGTATAAGACAGATTATTGAGGCAGAAAATTAACAAAGAGATTCAGGACCTGAACTCAACACTTGACCAAATGAACCTAGTAGACATCTACAGAACTCTCCACTGGAAGACA